TAGATAGATAGATAGATAGATAGATAGATAGATAGATAGATAGATAGATAGATAGATAGATAGATAGATAGATAGATAGATAGATAGATAGATAGATTTTGATCTGGTATTTGTAATTGCAAAGTACACTTATTGAATTATTTATCTTTTCTCAGTATTTCAGTAAAACTTTTTCAGCCTTAAGGTTTTATAAAGAAAATTTATATATATTTTAATATCACATTTTTTTTAAATAGATTTTGCTTTCAACTCTTCTTTTTGCAACAGATTGAATCTTCCTCGTGGATAGGAATAAAAAAACAATCTTTTCCTTTAAAAAATATTCCTTAAATATTTGCAGTAATTACAACTGTACAGCTTTGCTCAATCCCTGCAAAACATTGCTGTAATCTACTAAAGTCACTTTAGTGTTTCACTAATTTGTAATTTCCATTAGAGGGCTTTATCCAGGTGACTTGCTTTAAAGACTGGGACAGCAGGGTGGGGAAGGGTAGGGTGGGGTGGGCTGGCGTGGGAGGAGATCAAATTCTGCTTATGGCTCCAGAAATGTCCCTGCTGTGCTCTGGTGAGGCGACAGCTGAGACTAAATCAATGTTAGATGAGACAATAGAAGAGCAAGGAACAAAGTATTACTGTCACTTTTTGGTGTTTAATGCAGCAATCGTTTAATGGAAAATCTGGACAAATTATTATGTGCTTCTCGTCATTGTGCGTTTTTTCCCCAATTAAAATAATTGTTTTTCACCTTCTCTTTTCATCTGAGGCTACATGCAGAGTGAAACGCAGACATGCCAAGAAACAAGTCTGACGACTGAAAAAAGCAGCTTTGATTTCCCTTCTATACTGTGAAACATAATTACAATTCTAATCTTCACTTTCATTGACAAAGTACAATAATTATCGCTTCTTGCAGCTGGGCTGAAACAACCCCTCTGCAGAACAGCAACTTAGATTAAAAAATGGAGAAATGTGATTAAGCAAGAAAACTGTGTTTTAAGATGCAAATTGTTTCTTGACAGGAATTGGCATTTGCCAATTCATTTTAAGACAAAGCTGTTTGTAAAAATATCAGCACAACAGTATATTTCGTTAACAGTATAAAGCTTTATTTCCATTTAGAACTGCTCTGACAGATTTCTAATCTCAACTACTGCAAACATTTCTCAGCATATTTGAATTTTAAACATGTTCCTATAACTTAGTGACACAAATCAGATCACGAATGAACAATAAGTAATCTGAACTGCCTCCGATGATAATTATCAAGCCAAGATCCAACTTAAAAAGCGTAAAAGAATTACCAATTTAAATGTTTTCTCATTTTTTTGACTATTAAACTCATGTCATTTCTGTGCCATGCTCTTTTAAAACAGCACTCAAAACTGAAAATATGGATGTGTTCATGAGCCCTCAGGACTGAGCAGGTCTTTGAAGCCTTAGTAATGATGCCTTGTCCACTTGGGATCACCCTGATTATCAGCGTGCTCCAAAAATACCCGTGTGAAGGACAAAAAAGGACTGTCCAACTGTTAAAATGTAAACAACATCAGAGACTGTGGCTGGGTTCTTCTCCAAGGCCTGGCAGTTTTATTCTAACACCCTCGGCCCCCGGTTTTAATCATGGCCCCCTCTCTTCACACACGCTCAAACCTCCTGCAGAGTGAGCAGGGAACCAGCTGCCACTGTGCCAACAATCTGACTACTACTTGAGATTTAACAGCATCTTAAAATGTTTATCTCCTTAGACCAGCTTGGCATCACTGAGTCCAGTTAAGTGAGGCCATCCTGTATGTAACATTAAAAGATTTGCTCCATTAGAGAATTTTTCAATTAAAAACTCAATTTATTAAATGCTGTGGTTTTCTGATCCTTTGGAACATTGCTTTTAAGGCAATTAATACTACACTTGGTTAGCCTCGTACTGATTCTTACTAAGATCACTGGCAGGTTCAAGAGCTGTGGAAAATAATTTCCCCTAGTTACAATAAATGTTCAATTAGTTAAAATGGATACAAAGAGTATTTTTGCTTGGTATTTTTTGTTTTAATGGAACAGTAACCAATAACATTAATCTGCACATTTATTCCTTTTTAAGTATGCTGTTATTTTTGCCACCAATTAACTTTCTAAAAAAATAACAGTCAAATATGAAGATGGTTTACTCAATTAACACGTTTTTCATTTTCAGAACATGTCTGGCCGTTTTTTCCCAATAATCAGTAAACTCTAAAAATCTTATCTTTGAATTCTTGGTTTACTGATAAAGTGGAGTTATGTCATGAATGTGTATGTCCCCTATTAGTTCTCCATTTTGTCTCGTCCATCTGTTCAGTAATGGAGCTATTAAAGGATTTAGACAAAGCTGATTTACTTCCTTGTACCTGAGTAAGACTGAGAGCTGGGCTGTGATTGAAGAAATGTTTCATTCAATTAGGTGACTTACTTTGCCTTGTGGATGACAAAGTTGATCCAGTAAAACAGATTCAAGTAATTTCTAAAGTGCCACAACAGATGGATGCAAAAATGAGACAGCACTAAAAACTGCAATGTAATTTACAGTTTTAGAAAATCGAAATGTACAGGCATTTTAGCACACCCTATTGGTTTGATTAAACTTGAAATATTTTGCCATGTCAAAAGAATTTACGTCAAAATGTTGAATTAATTTCAAAACCATCACATTATATCTAAAGGTGAAAAAAATCAAGGCATCTTTTTTTCCGATTACAAGTGCAAAATCTAGCAGCTGACATGCAAAAAGAAAGTAAAACATTATATAAAGAATAATTAATAGACTTTTTCAATCATTAGCAACGTACCTCTTCATTATTATTTATTTTATTTGAGTATTTTATCTTTAACCGTTAAAAGTACAGAAGCAAGCACATTTATGTGCGTAGGTACCTTAACGTCATTATAACCTCTGTTTACAGTCGGCGTCTTTGTTTACATGACATAACTTGTTGTTTCCTTGATACACGTAATTACGGCATTACGTAATGACGACATACGTTTATAATTGATACGTCATCACGCTCCACAATGCTAACTGTTAGCACGGTTTCTGTTTTGCTGCTTGCTGTGTGTGGTTACCAGAGTTGACGCTGACTACAAAAACGAGCAAACTTTTTAATACAACAGTTAATACTTTAAATAACACCCGCGTATTCGCGTCGGGCCGTAATTATGGCTCTGCAAGGCTCGGAGGAGCTTGGGGAGCAGGTCGAGGAGCCAGAGGATCTTGACGACCAGGATGCTAGTAGCATCTCCCCGGCCGAGGAGATAACTCTGCCCCCGGGGCCTGGGGGGGACGAGGAGTCCGAGGAAGCGCTCCTACTGCCGTGGGACCGCTTCTCCGCCTGGCTGCACTGCATCTGTGTGGTGGGCTTTGACCTGGAGCTGGGCCAGGCCGTGGAGGTAAGGCAGGGGGCTCCACCGAGGATAAGCCGGTCAGGCTACACCGTTAGATAGCAGCTGCTCAGGGCTCCGACTATGCCCTGGACGATAACTCAAATCTGTATATTTTGTTAGCTTCTGCTTAGTTAGACTTTTATCATTTAAAAATGATATAAATTGCAAAAATATTTCAATATTACAGAGCAAGATCACCAGTTATTCACCCTATGCTGTCAGAGTTAGCTTAACAGAGGGTTATGCTAACCCTAAGCCTCTGATAGGCTTCCTTCCCTGGACTTAGTCTCAGTCTTATCAGCAAGGTTGAAATTTCGCAAATATGTTTATTTCTCTGAGTCGTTCTTATCATTTGTGGGAACCTTTATGGATCTCGGGGCACTTGTTAAAGGGACATCTTGAACGTGTTGTTTGTGCTATCAGACTGAACGCCTGTTGGATTAAAAGCAGAGTCTAGATGTGAACAAACTTGAGCTTTTACTTGTTGCTTTCACCTAAAATGTTTTGAAAATCTTATTTCAGTATATGGTATCATGCCTTGTAACCATTGTTGTTAATTTTTTTTTAATCATATTTCAACATATGAACTAGAATCATGTAAACATTTCTGTGTATATTAACTTGATTTGGAACTAAATGGGAGGTGGTTGTCCCAAAACACAATGATTATGTGTAGTTAGTAAAAATTTCAGAGTTGTAAATCCATGGATGATGGAGGCTTGGTGTTTTGTTTCCTGTTTATTGAACTGTGTATTTGTCTTCCAGGTCATTTATCCTCATCATTCCAAACTGTCGGAGAAAGAGGTGAGCAAAATGGACTGAGAATGGCCGATTATTTAAAATGTTACCAGCATGTTTAGACCAACCAGCATGTTTCTATGCAGTCTGAAACTGAGATAGTTTGGCAGATTATTTGAAAATATTCATTATGTTTTGTCATTATGTGGAAGTTGATCATGAACAAAGTCTGTTGATGTTTTATTTTTTTCAGAAAACAAGCATTTGCTACTTGTCTTTTCCAGACTCCAACTCAGGTGAGGTCTTTTTTCGGTATTACATGTAGCAGAACAATCATGCCGGATGTTTAACTTGATGAATATCTTCAGACGTGTGATTCAAGTCCGGTTTCAGTCTCATTTTTCCAAAGAGTGGCAGAAAGAAAGCTGCGTCAGTGGTGAGACTGTTTGATCTGCTGGAAAAGACTAAAGGCATGTTTGAGCCTGACATCCATTCTCAGATGGATGATAAGTTTCTGTCCAGTTTGTAAGACTTTCTTTTTTGCCTAAAGTCCCTGAAATTATACCAAAGTGTTGGCATTTGAAAAATTTGTCTCACAACGTCCTTTTTGGATGAATGCTAAATGATGGCTTCTGAGGACACCCTCAGAGAAACGACATCAAATCTCCAATCTGCTGGTAAAATTAGTAAAAATCGTGACTCAAAGCCTACAGTTCCCTCCATATTTGTTCAAATCAGAGTCAAACCTAAGAGCTGCTCTCTGCAGGGTAACAGCACGGATCATCACAGACACAACTCAGAAAAGACTAAAAGACACATCAAAGAGCCTGAAATGTTCCCCTAACCAGTATAAATGCTCCAGATACCAATCTGATACGGGTCTGATAGCATCTGTGGAGAGATGAAACCAAGGGTGGTCTTAATGTTATGGTCAATCAGGGTGCAGATAAAGTAATAGTTCTTCGTTGCAGACACCTATCATTTGCTTTGAAAACTCAAATTTAATAAAAAAGGAAATAATATTTATTTTAAAACTAAAAAATTAAACGCGAAATGGAAAACAAAGTGGTGTGGGCTGTTCGGAGCTGGTGAGTCTGTGGTTCGGAGTGGGAAAGGGTCCAGTTCCCAGTCCAGGATTAATCGACAGGCTCCTCAGGCATGTTGTGATTTATGAGAAATGAGACCAGAGCCTAGTTGAGTCTGGCTCTCTGTGGCCATGAACCAGATTTGTGTCTTTTCTGTATGTGTTTTTATACAGGAGGGAGGTCAGTGTCTCTGATTAAGGTAAACAAAGCCTCACATGCACTGACTCACAGTCTGAAGCCAGCCTGAGCAGACACAGACTTGTGCCTCAGCTTCTAACGATCTGTTTCTGGCTGGGTGGTCCTGAACGCAACCCGGCCAGATGATGTCATGGAGTGTTTGCTTTGTCCTTGGAAGTGTTTCTGTGTGTACATGTGTGTGTGTTTGTTATGAGGTGGAATGCCTTGAAGTCTGGTAGCGGGTGCTGGTGTTTGTGTTTGGGATGTCCTAAACTCTGATAATCATCAGTCTCCTCTCTCTGTCCGCTCGGGGATATGCAGAGATCGTTGTGAGGTTAAATGCTGGTTGAAGAGTCATTGGCCGCTTCCTATTTTCCTTCTTCCTCTTCCTGTTTATGCCAGAATCCGGAACCAGATAAACCAGGAAGACGTACGAGTGTTGACTGGTGCTCAACAGAAAGGGAGCAGCTTTCGGTTCACTAACAGATTTTCAGCTCGTGGTAATCCTAAAGATTTAGGAGTTCAAACGGCACAGATTACACAAAAAAAAAAAATCTCATGAAAACTTCAGTGTGGATTTATCCTCTTGTTTGCATGTAACCAAGGAATTTATTTAAGCTGCTTTAAATGATACCGAACACAGCTATTTGTCAGGTAATTACAATAAATATTATCATGCTGGATTTGAAACCAAAAACCTGGATCCAGTTTGGGATCTTTAGTGTCCTGTTTAAAGCTGAATGCAAATTCATCCATAAATCTGTTAATAATCCCCTAGACAATCAGAACTAACCGGTTAACCTCTTTCTTGGAGGTAATTAATTACATCTTTAATGTTTGGATAAATAATGAATGAGCTCAATTTCTAAATGCTTTTTATTATGAAAAATAAGAAAGTTGTGTTGAGTAGCAGGAGTGGAAAAGGGCCATTCATATCCCAACATGGTCTGAGCAGCAGGCCGGGCTTAAAGTAACAGAGGTATTGATGGTGTTTTGAAAGAAATGGCGGGTTTCTTTTGAAGGAGCCGCTTCCGGAGTCGCTTTAAAAGCGGCTGGACGTGGCTCTGTACAGTCAGCAAGTAGATGGATACCTTTATGTGTTCCCAAGGCAAATAAGGTCATAATAGCAGGCCGGTATATTTGAATCTAATAAAGATACAACAGAGTGAAAAACTGAGGTAGAACTTTATCTCAAATGTACCGCAAAGCGGAGCGTTCAAAACAATACAAAGTGGCTGCTATAAATCTAACTGGTAATAGATGTTTCTTTTTGCCTAATAGAAAAAAAATCATTTGGCCTGGCCATGAGATGTGAGTCTTTTGATGGGAACATAACTGAGGACACCTCGGCCCAGTTTCAAGTCGGTATAGAGTCTAAAACATTGAAACTGCTGAGTGTCTTAAAGCGGGCTTCCATTGTTGCTATGTTCCCAGGTTGCCTCGGCGACACACAGTTCTGCTTCCGGTTCCGTCAAGGTTCGAACAGGAAGTCGTCGCTGGGCTGCTTCCTGGAAACGGCAGATCGGGACGCCCCGCCCTGCCTGAAGGTAGAGCCGTTTAACGGCAGACCAGTTTTCATGCATTTCCAGCATTTTTAAGTTCCTTTTCGTTACTCTTGCAGAGGGAACAAGGTCATTACTACGGATACGTGTATTTCCGCCAAGTGCGAGACAAATCTCTGAAGAGAGGATACTTCCAGAAGGTCAGTGTCACCATGGCTCTGACCCAAAACATCACCCCACTTTCAGTTGACCTTTTAGACCTACAGACCGACTCCTTGACAATCATTACTCTACTCAAGACTTGGTTTGTTCCATCCGCGTTTGTTTTCAGATTCTAGAAATGCCACTTCCATCAGAGTTCATTTAAATATTCAAAATGATTTTATTTTTAGAAAGTGGGAAATTTGCAAATTGTTTTTTCGTTTTGTTCCAGTTGAAATACCGTGCCCTTTCCCTTCTGCTCAAAGAATTCAGATGAGATCAATGTGCACATTCCTGACTGCAACTTGCATGTTAGAATGCTGAAAAACAGAAATAAAGCATTACAGACACAGGTCAAACTGTCGGATGACTAAAATCTGCAGTGTGGAAGATCATTAAGAAGAGAGAATGCACAGCTTTCTAATCACAAAGCCCAAAGAGGAGCTGCACAAGTCCTCAAAGCCCCATCAAACTGATCAGAATTAGCCTTTAGGAGGCAGGTGTGTGAGTCTACTATCCACAGACGACTTAATGAACATCTAAACTGTTCGGGCTCCAGTTAATGCCTCCAAGCTTGCAGCAGGAGAATGATCCCCGCACCAGTTTCTCAGAGATAAAAAATTGGAACATTCCCCAATTGTCAAGCCAGCCACCAGATTTAAAAGCCCCAGTTTCTGTGTGCTGAAACCTAGCTCGAGGAGACATCTTCACACATTTCAGTTCCACTGAAATGTGTGAAGATGACTTGAAATCAAAGTCTGGAAAGTGCATTTAATCAGGGTCACTCGGTTTCACTCGGAGGAGCAGAGGGGGGAACTCGGAGAAAAGTGGGAGACAGCAGGAAAGCCTGAGTTTGATGAGCCGTAGCTCACAAATATTATTGTGCTGCTTTATGGAAATAATTACACAAACGGAGAAGAATTTATGCGGTAGAGCAGAAAATGTCCTGACTCGTTTTAGACCAGTGGAAATATGGACACTGATGTAACGCAGAGAAACTTTGAAAACCCAAAGGGAATTCTCATTTCCTGAATGGATCTGTTGAGAATATTCATTTTCTTGGCTCTTTTTTTATCATTATTATTATTATAATTATTAACCAAGTAGAAATGCTAAGCCCAGCTCTTCATTTAGGATTTGGTCCAGATTTGACTTTACTCATTCCTGACTCCCGGGCGACTAAACCCATATTAACAAGACTGATTAAGAAACCAGGTATTTGTCATAACCAGACAATCATCAGCTTGTTTAGCCTCAGACCGATAAGGATTGTCAAAGGAGTGTCTGATTTGTCCAAATAGAAAAATGTGGTCTTCTTGTCTTTGCTCCAGTCTCTGGTCCTGATCAGTAAGCTGCCCTACGTGACCTTCTTCCACTCGCTGTTGAAGATCATGGCTCCAGAATACTTTGAGAAACAGGAGCCCTGCCTGGAGGCCGGTCAGTATTCTCAGCTTTTATCTGGGGGGTCGGTTCCTCTGCACCTGGGCACTCGCTTTTCCCAGAGATGACATGAATATGGATTAGGGGTGTTTTAGTTTTCTATGTGTTGTTTTTTTTATGCAGGTAAATTCTTTAAAACAAGCAAACATTTACCTGTTTGGTCTGAGAGACCAATGGTAGGGTTTCTGACCCGTAAAGAGTTTTTTTTTCTGATTTGTCCTCGCCTCTGTCTATATTCCTTGACAGCTTGTAATGATATCGACCGCTGGCCGACGCCTCATCCCGGACGAATCCTCACGCTGCCTATTATGGGGGTCGTCCTGAAGGTAAACGTGTGCACACACACACACACACACACACACACACACACACACACACACACACACACACACACACACACACACACCAGTTTCAAAGTGGCTCTTCACAGGAGCTTTGAAACTTATGATATTCATAAAGGCTACGAGTGTGAGTTAATGAGCAGTTTTCATCGGCTCATTCATTATTTACAGTCAGGGGTTGCCAACATGGCCACGCACTCAGCCATGCACTCATTTAAAATCACTTTATTCAGTATTCGCTTAGCAAATCTTTGATTTTGTGCATCTTTTTATCACACAAATGCGTTCATTTGCACACACAGGAGGTAATTTTCTTTTTTTAACACATTAGCGTAGAAACCTCCTAAGATGTTTTTCTTGAAATAAATCAATCAATTAATTATTTTTAAATGTATCATGCACTTTAAAAAATTTAACTTCTGAATCATTCTTGGACATATTATTTTAGAACATTTTTTGAAAGCTACAGAGAAAGCCAAGCAGTGTATTCCGTTTGTTCATTTTAATTATCCTTCAGCTGATGCCCAAAACACAGCATCTGAAAAGAGATTTTATCTAAAACTAACTAAGTCTTAAGAAAATTTGAAGAAGATGATGAAGAAGAAGAAGTCATGTTGATGTTTCTTCCGATGCGCAACAGATTCGCATCCCGACCTGTTACGACAAACCAGGAACCTCACAGCTGGTCCACTCGGCCCAGGTAAAAATAAAAAACAAAAACAAAAAATGGGGAGAGTTTCAGAGCCTTCTGGTTTTTGTTGTGACTTGTGGAGCTCAAACACCGTATTTGCCTTGCAGAGCGACAGTCTGGTGTCCATCGTGCTCCCCACCATCCATGAAGTCGACCTCTTCAGGTGAGCCATCCGAGCATAAAGCCACCCCTCATGCCATGGTGCACTGTCTCCCCCTGTGGGCCGGCAGTGGTACTGCAGCTTTTGGAAAATCTGAAATATTCATAATCCACGCTCCTTTGGTTGGAAAAGTTATTCGTTTGTGTTTCTCCGACCTGAAGACTCACGTCTACAGTGTCCTTATTAATCCACCTGTTCCAGCATTTAAACCTCTCGAATGGTTGTCGAATGATGTGGCCACAAGACTAAACCAAACAACCCCCAGCACTTTAAAAGTCTTACAGGCTCATTTCTTCTTTGCTCTTAATCAATGTCCCCACCGTGTTTATACACATTGTTTGATTTGTGTATGAAGCTATTATTACTGATCAGGAAGTGATTATCAGGACTATTTAAAGCAGTGAAATGCCACCGTTTCCATGACAAGCAGCTTATAAGCATTTCCTTCCTGTGCAGGTGTTTCTACCCGGTCTTCTTCCACATCCAGATGCTTTGGGAGTTGGTTCTGCTCGGCGAGGCGCTCGTTGTCATGGCGCCGTCCCCGGCGGAGTCGTCGGACACGGTGCTGGCCCTGGTCAGGTGGGTCGGAGGGTGGAGGCTGCACCTTGTGCCAAATTAACCGAAAGATGAAGAGCGGTGCGTTAAACTCGTCAGCAGAACAGTGACCTTTAGAGTTTCCCAGCTTTAAAGGGCTTAAGTGTTGTTCGCCTTTAATCCTTTTACGGAGGTGTACAAAGCCTCGTGTGTGTAAGATTTCCGCTCGGTCAGCCATTTATGGAAACATCAGGGCCTCCAGAGTGTAAAGAGGGGCAGCAAATAATCCCATTTTCCTCCAAGAAAAACACTAAGAACAGACTGATGTTCTACAAAAAGCGCAAAGATTGGGCCCCGGAAGCCTGAGTGGGAATAATTTTCTCTTAGGAAGCCCCCAATCCTGGATGATTGACAGATAATAATAATAAGAAGTGAAAGCCAGGAGAAAAGCATCCTGTGAGGGCTGGATTATTCCCATCCAAACCAGTTCACTCATTTGTGATTTTTGCCAAAGAGCAGAGCCATTGATAATCAATAGTAAGAAAACATCCTCCTCCAAGCATCTAGGAACAGTTTGGAGAAGAAGAAAGTTTATTCCAGAATCTCTAAGCAGCTCGTAGAACAGAAAATCACAGCTTTGGGTCCATTTCAGGAAAGCTTGTGGTCAGAATCAGAAAAGAAGGTAGAGAAACCAAAATTTGACCACCTGAGGCTCCGATGGCATGTTGTTGTTGTTGGACAGCACCCAGGAACATTAAAGCCTTTGAAACTGTTTCACTGACATGAAAAAAAGAATAGATGTGAATATTTGTGTCATATACATATAGTTTTTTTTGTATATATCTAGTTATATTATATGAGGAATTCTGTATATATATATGTATATATGTACAGATATTTATATATGTATATGCCTTTGTTTTTAATTATGGAGCCTGTAACAAAAATAATTTCCCTCTGTGATTATTAAAGTATTTCTGATTCTGATTGCAAAAAAAAAAAAAAAAGGGAAAAAAAAGTCATTGACTGAAGTGAACCCTAACCAGGCGACGTTGTGGTCCTCCCCCTGCAGCTGCATCTCTCCTCTGCGCTACGGCAGCGACTTCAGGCCCTACTTCACCATCCACGACAGCGAGTTCAAAGAGTACACCACCCGCACGCAGGCCCCGTGAGTGGCTCCTACCGTGTGCAGCTCTGGGGGGCTTCGTTTTGATACCGAACGCTCCCCACCAGCAGATCTAATCTGCCCTTTAAATAGCAGATTGTGTGTAAAGTATAGATTTGGATCACTCATCACTATCCCCCAAAAAAGGACAACAATACATCACTGATCATGTGTGGATTGAACTGGATTGATCATGTAAATCAGTGGTAGGAGATTAGTTTGTTGTAGATCAAATGTTGGAATAATTTATGTGATCTTTGTCCGTCCTTTGTAATTAGTAATCCAGCTAGATTTTTGTGTCGAGTTCACAGATTCAGTTTTAATATTCACAAACAGATGGAATTTAATCAATTTTTGTTGTAAAGCATTTTTGTTCGGTTTGGCAAATTACAGATTAGTATATACATTTTTCTCCTTGAAATTGCTCCTTTTTAACCCTTTTGTTAAATCAAAGGACTAATCAGAGTTGATGTTGGCTTTATTTGTTGTTTTAAGGGGTTTTTAGATGCGGTTTGAACAGACCGAAGCAGGGAGGCCATGAATGGAGTGATTTGTGTAACAGAGAGGACAGATTTGGCCCCCGGCTCCAGCGGAGCTGTGTGTGGTGATGGGATTATACGCTCTTTACCACCCTCTCTGCTGACGGGCTGATCCTCCCAGCGTGTAGTTTAGACCTTCGGGATGAGGGGATTCCAGCTGCTTTTGCTCAGGCTCTTTGGTTTACCGCGACCAGAGGACTGGGAATCCCCCCCAACACCCCCGGCATTAGGGCTCTGAGGGGGGGCTTAACTGGGCTTGTCCTGTGCCCAAACGCTGTGGTCACGGTTACTCCATCCCAGCATTAAACTGTAAATTCCTAGCTATCTGGCATCTTTCTTGTCCCTCATTTGTTTTTTCCTTTGGGTCTATGGTCTATTTTAATAAATGGATCTATTCTAAAGATCTATTTAAATCTGCCCAATCCCTGCTGACGGCCCATTGATGAAAATCAGGCGTGTTGAAGCAGGGAAACATCTAAAACCTGCAGGATGCCCCTGAATGAAACGTTGGTTTAATCTCCTCTTCTGTCACCCTGCAGCCCGTCGGTCATTCTGGGAGTGACCAATCCCTTCTTCGCAAAGACCCTGCAGCACTGGCCACACATCATTCGCATCGGTGACATGAAGCAAGCAGGTAGAAGCTACTTTTAACCCATGTCTGTTAGTAAGTCTCCACCCGAAAGGCTTGTGTGTAGATTTCAATGAGGAAAAAAACGTGATGCGTGAATTCATCTTGATTTTTGTTTTTAAAAAATCCAGCATGAATTCATTAAAACCAACCCATCCTTTAAATGGCAGAAATATTTAACACCCGTAACTCTGTGAAATGTTTTGCTCTCAGGGGAGATGGCCAAGCAGATGAAGGTCAAGAAGCTGAAAAACCTAAAAACTCTGGATTCAAAACCAGGTAAATATTCAACATTTGATCATGTTTCGTGTTCATTATTTGGTTTAAATACCTATTGTTGATATTGTTCTACCATATATCTTCAAACAGAAGCTTCGTTCTCCATTCATTTAAGCAGATTAGTGTACTTCATATGTCTGTTTTAAGACGAGTCATATTTTTCTACAAATCCTTATTTGGCCTCGCAAAGCATTTTATCCTTATAAAATGTCTGGATATGAATTCTGATGCAGTGTTTAAGAATAACGGCCCCCTCGTACATGAAGCTCAATCACTTTTATTTCTTCAGGGGGCTCTGCCATCCCTCTTAGGTTTGCAAATCTCTGAAAACAAGCGGCTTTTTCCGATATTGATCGGTGTGTGTCTTACAGGTGTGTATACGGCGTACAAGCCATATCTCAACAAAGACGAGGACATCATCAAGCAGCTTCAGAAGGTGGGAAACGCACCGGACGGTGTTCCTCATTCAATGCTTTTTCTTTCTTTTTCTTTCTGTTTAAGAGAAAATACATCTCCACTAAAAGTGTTAAAAAAATGACAGGTCACGGCTCTGAACACTCAATAAAAGGCCTCGTCACACGTCTGTTCACCTCCAGCCGAAAGCCCTGCATGGCTGATTTGGCCTGATTTAGCAGAGATCATAAATTGGATCCAGATTATTTTTTAAAAATGTTTTATTGAGACCTGAGTCTTAATAGTCAGACCAAAATTCAAATGACTTCCACTTGCTTCTTCCTGTTTGAAATGTGGATTAAAAACAGACATAAGGACGGACATTTCTGCTCTAGATGCACAGCTTTTGTTTCATGTCATCCTCTCAATGTTTTTTATTTCCTTTCTTTTTTTAGGGCGTTCAGCAGAAGAGACCCTCGGCGGCACAAAACGCAATTCTGCGACGCTACTTCTTAGAACTGACCCAGAGCTTCATCATTCCTCTGGTATCCTACAGTAACTCATTTCCAAAGGCTTTTTTTTTTTAAGCTTTTGACACTGTTGGATTTAGTTGTATTTCCAGATAAAGAGACTGATGTTTTTGTGGTCCCCGTTAAAGGAGCGGTACGTGGCCAGTCTGATGCCCCTTCAGAAGACCATCAGTCCCTGGAAGAGTCCTCCTCAGCTGCGGCCCTTCATCCAGCAGGACTTCATGAGAACCCTGGAGAAGGCAGGACCTCAGCTCACCTCCAGACTGAAGGGAGACTGGATCGGACTCTACAGGTACAGTCATGAGAGCCCTGTGTTGATGGTTTCGTGTGTTTTTTAAGGTAATTTAGTACTGAATTGAAGGATGAACATTAACCTCCTAATTTGAAACACTTTAGAGTTTGACAAATGATGGATGAAATACAGCAGACCTCTACTTCCGATCGCCTATTTTTTCCAACATCCAAAGCTAAATTTGATCAAATATTCGACTCGACACCTGAAGTAAATTTCCAACATCGTTGAAGTCATAAAACAAAAAAATTTAATATACAAATAAATGAAGTAATTTAGTTTAAAGTTCATGTAGTGAAAGTTAAAGTAAGTTAGGTTACGTCCTGTATCTCAGTCTCCACCTCTACCTCAGTTCGCCAATAAGTGCAAATAAAAACCCTTTTTACTGATTATTTCTTTATAATTTATTTATTTTACATCTTTCTTATATAAAGCATTTGTTTTATTGCTATGTGTAATTATCTGCAGTATTTATTAAGGAGTTATCGTAGGTTTTTGGGCTGTGGCACGAATGATGGGAATTACAATGTATTCTTATGGGAATATTTGAACCAACATTCAAATATTTTAACATACGAAGTCGGTCCTGGAACGAATTCAATTCGTATGTAGAGGTTCTACTGTACTTCATTACCAAAATAATGTTTAGAAATCAGGCAACCCTTAACGCACAGCTGGTATTTAGGCCCCTGGGAGCTCCAATGTGGGTTCAGGACCAAAGTCTGTTTTTCATTTGAAGTTAGAGGTACATTCATAGTTCTGAGTGTTTTCACTGTAATCTTCATTGCTGCATGCGTGTTCAGACATTTCCTGAAGTCTCCCAACTTCGACGGCTGGTTTCGAAACAGGAGAAGAGAGATGACTCAGAAGCTGGAGGCTCTGCACCTCGAGGCGCTTTGTGAGGAGGTGAGAAAAGGCCGGAAAAGCTGCAGAGCTGAAATGTGTGTTATTATTAATACCGCTGGCCCCAGATGCTGCCTTCAAGCAGAACAGTCACACTTTTCCAGGGTAACTAAGAAAAGTCATGATGTGAGCATCACAGTTGTGTTGCTGAGTGGCGTTAAACATTCATTTGAGCTCAGTAAAGATCAGTTTATACATAAAAGTTGAATAGTTGTGCGATAATTGCACTGAATTTTGTCAATGACCAATAATGTGTGTGTGACGACCCGATAAGTCTAAGTGTACATCACAACTGGAGTCAAGGAAAAGAAAAATTCAACATTCAAATTAAGTGACAAGTTAAGTTTTTGTACAGGATAAATTAGCGGAAAAATTGGGAGAAAAATATTTCCATATCGAAAAAAATCCAGAACAATAAGATGGTGGAAAATAAGTTGTCATACAGGAAATATCCAGTAAAATAAGTTAAGCAAGCTATAAGTTTTTGTTCAAATTTGCTTCAGTAAAATGACATAGAAAAAATACAGCGAAATAAGGGTGAGAAAATTAGGTTTTTGTCGTAATAATGTAAGAAGTCAAATAATATAGAAAAAAATCCCGCAAAATAAGGTGGGAGAAAAACAAAAAAAATCTGGTAAAAAATAAGGAGAGGACACGGTAAATGTCATCACTTTGGTCAGATAAGGGAGAAGAAAATGTTTCGCATGAATAATTTCTCTTACGGCTCGAATGTTTTCACTGGCTGAACGCTGCTCCATAAAACTGAGACGGGACAATAATAAACGGCAAAGCAACAAAACAATTTAGCTGGTGTGGGATCAAGATCTTCTCATTTTTGGATGGAAGTAATCTCTTCCATCAATCTCATATTGTCTCCTATTCAAAGACATTATGTTCTGATGATGAACGGATCCCATTAATTAAGGCCAGTACATACTAATAAACGACCATTACATCTTAATTAAGGTTCAGTGTGTAATAAATTATCTGTGTGTCCTAATTAAAGATAATATGTCTTAACAAATGAACAGTATATATTAATAAAAGACCAATATTTTCTAATTAAAGACTAAGTTCTCTCCTTCGGTCTGAATCTCTCACTGGTTCTGTTTCTATCTGCAGGACCTTCAGCAGAGAATCCAGAAACACACGGAGGTGGAGGCGGTCGATCTGGTTCTGAAGCTCAAAGACAAACTGGTCAGTTTGAACTCCTCACAGGAGACCCCAGATCTTTATTAGTTTTTATTTTGATTTGTATAAATAACCTTCACAGTCCCCCATACAGGGCACCTAGTCTCAGAAATGCCATCTTCCACTAATTAAAACTACGTTTAGCCAATCTTTTCCAGGATTTAGGAGCTAATTAAACCAAATACCATAGTTAATGTGACGTAAACTGGTTAGTTTGACGTTTTTTTTTTAGTATTTCTATTTACTTTTTGTTGATTTTGGAGATACAGGACGTACCGTAACTTACTCTAACTTTTACTACGTGAACTTTAAACTAACTTAGCTTATTTATTTTCATTTAATTTTTATATATCTATTTTTTTTCCTATGACTTCGACATCATGTTGGAAATTTTCTTCGGGTGTCGAGTCGAATATTTGATCGAATTTCACTTCGGATGTTGGAAAATTTGTATATTTAGGCCGATGGGAAGTAGAGATTCAGCTGTATCTAGCATCTTAGTCCCATTTGGAGCATGGTGGCTACAAACGAGACGCAGAAAGGCACCAAACCCACCCAGAACCCTCCATGTGTCCTGACGGTTCTCTGCTCTCCCCCAGACTCAGGCGGAGAGGGAGCAGCTCCCGCTGCGCCCGGGAACGATCACCAAGCTCAGATCCCACATCGACGCCGTCATCCTGGCGCTGCCGGAGGACCTGCAGGGCATCCTCCACAAGCCCCCCACCCCCTGACCTCTGACCCCCCCTGACCTGCAACACTAACCACTCCTTTTTAAAGCCGGGGCTCGGGGATTCTTCCCGTTCTGGAGGGGGGAACGCGGTCCCGGTCTGAGATCTGCCGGGGGGGTCCGACGGGACATTTACCCCCACCGGGAGGCGACTAAAAACTCTGAATCGGGCTCAGAGCGACCAGCTGGACCAGGTTTTTCTGAAACCGGAGGCCCCAGCGTGACGTCGGAGGTCCGGCCCAGCGAAAACAGGAAGAAGACACCAGCTGACCTTTGACCCGCAGTATTTTTTTCTGTTTTTTTTTTCTTTCTACGTCGTAACATCTCTCATTTTTAACTGTTGTGACTTGACGCTCTGCCAGAGCAGAGTTTGGAGTTTTCACCCATTTTTAACAACAACAAAAAAAAGAGTTGTTTTTTTTTTTATAGAAGTGCACTTGATTTGTAACCCGGAGCAGCTGGCCGTCACAAGCACCGCGACACAGAAACACTTATGCAAGCCAGGCCAAGCGAGCGGAGCCAAGCAGTGCTTTATTTAGTCGTTTCACTACAAAGAGCCTCCCTCTAAAGACCTCGCAAAGCACCAGCAACCCCCCAATAACCCCGCAATAACCCCCCCAATAACCCCCAAACGGCTCCGTCTGCCCCAGGTTCCCCCGCCTGGTTTTGGGCTTCTTTAAGGCCCAGTTTATTCATCAGAAATGTGGAAAAACCTGAGTTTTAGAGCCTGTTGCTATATGAAACTACAGAAGCCCATTTAACCCAAAAAAGGGAGCTAATGAAAAATGATCCATTAAAGGGACAAAAGTCTTTATAAAAAAACAAATGGATGTTTAGAGAATATTTTTAATTAAAACTCCTGGAACATTAGCTCAAATTAACATGAATTGATCAAATGGTTGAAATCTTACATTCTTTCATAATGAAATATTTGGCTTTGATGATAGCTGATGTTTGTCATATTTGATTGTATTTTCTTTTTAAAGGAGATACCTCATTTAGATGTTTTTCTCCAGAGGATGCTGGCTTCAAGGCAATAATCCTTCTAAATTCCAGCGGGAGCACAGCGTAACACACTCAGATGCTGCATTTACTCACATTTCTCTCCTTTTTTCGGACTGCGTTTGGCTTTTTTGTGTGCTTCAAAACCTCATAGAATCATGTAAGCAATGCAAAAACGGACTGGCACCACTAGCTGGGCGGATCATTCCTGTGAGAAAACAGCTAAACAAAGTCTGTCTTGTAATTATGAATGTAAAAGCACACGTTCTGATGGACAGTATTCAGACGGTTTTTAAAGGAGCCTGGAAGTCTCAATGAGAAAAGCGAGTGACGTCAGATTTCCCGTTTTTCACCACGTTTGAATAAACGGATTACTGTCCGGACGTGGCTTTAGAAACCAGTTTTCATGCTACCTTTCTAAATGTGCAGAAGCATGCAGAGACTAACTATTTGGGTGGTAGTTGGAGCAGATTTAGAGTCTTCAGGCACGATTGTGTTGAACTCAAACATTCCTGCACAACGACGTGGAGCAATAACGGTTCCTCGGCTTTTCCAGAGAACAAACCACAGATTGAATTTTATTTTCTGCCTTTTAAACTCGACGTCTGACTTCATGTAACACGTTCAAGTGCTTTGATATTTGCCTTTTTTTTTCTCTTTTTTTCTTTTTTATCAAGCGGATAAATGTAAAAGAATATTCCTGGTTGGACAAACCTGTGACTTCTGGTTGTTGGACAACCATTTGAGTTTTATATTTGTTTTGAAAAAGAAACAAAAACTACGACTACCTTGAATTTTATGGAGGCTGTAACCGCGTAAGATTTCGGAGATTTGTACATAAATATGAGAAAAGGAAAGGTGGCCCACATATTGTACGCGGAGTATTTTGCTATTACAACAGATGTCTTACTAAATACAGAGCAATGGAAGAGAAATACTTGTTGTGATATTTAGTTTTTGCTTCATTACTATGCTGTTTGGGGACTGTTATAGTTTGAATTTGTTGAATTCATATTAACTACTAAACTAATTTCCCTGAATTGCTGCTTTGTGTTTTTTTGTATTTCTGGTGTAATTCAAATTAAATGATCTAAGGGTAGCTGCACCAGTTAAAGCTAAACTTAAAGAACATTTAGATAATGATGGCTAGAACCCGGTGGACTCCTTCTACATTTCCTTGGCACTTTTCCAGTCAAACTGACCGATCCCAGAGCTTTACTCCACGTGTTGTTCACCCCTTCAGCCACCACTGGGAGACTCCGGGGGTTTAATGCTGAAGGGCTCTGACATGTGACCCGAGGAAACATGGAGCCGGACCACTGACCGTCCAATCAGTCCAACTGAGCCTCAGAAGCCCTGAAAGTAATTATGAACCGGACCCAAACTGGAGGAATGACCTCTTGTTTCCTAGTCGGGGAACCATGCACACGCACAAAAGCCCCCAGGTGGGGTTTGAACTGCAGTTTTGCTGGTCGGCACCACTTCATTTGCACCGTTCAGCCCCAAAAAAACGATTCAGAGTCTCTTCTCACCAAAAACAGACAGGCTTCAAAGCATTTCCATCCCATTTGAATTTAATTTCCACTCGAGTGATAATCGAGTCTTTTTAGTCTGAGACAAAACGTCAAAAAAGTCTGTAGACAGTAGTGGACACAGATGTTTGTCTTTCCTGAAGTTTGTCTTTTTTTCCCATATTCCTGCTGCAGGATTCTGTTTTTTACTGAAGTCGGGAGGGACGATTATTACTGGACGTGTGACAGCCCATGATTCAAAAGCAAATCAGCATGATTGAATTAGCGTGACTTAAAAATGTGATAAGACATTCCATGAGATAACAACAAATCTGAGACTTTTGACTCTTTAAATGAATAGTCGCTGTCTTTAAGTCAGGAATCAATTTATTGGTTTTGATCATGCAAAAAAGTTTAATGAAGAAATGTACGTTTTTGTTTAAAAAAAGTGATTAACTTGTTGATTTTAAGTTCAATGAATGTTTTTCCCCCTCCCTCGTGAACTAAATGTCTGTACATTTAGCAGATGCTTTTATCCAAAGTAGACACAATGTTACAGTTATCTTAAGATAAGCAGAGAGAGAGATAGAGTAGAGGCGTACAGAGGGATGGGGATGAGTTGGTATAGGATAAAAACAGTCAATTGGAAGTCATCGATCGCTGATCACAGCGGATGGTTTCTGCCTGGCCCCCCCCCCTGTTTGCTCTCCCCCTGGCCCATAAGCCGGCGGTGCCTCCCGCCCCTCAGCCGATGCCCTCGGCGCCCGCCGCCCCCCCCCGGCTGCTCGTAGACGTCCTCCAGCAGCGTGCGCCCGCTGACCGAGTAGATGATGCTGGACCAGGTGAGCACGGAGCCCCGGTACCACCTGAAAAAACAGCCGGGGGGGGGGAAAAAGACTTCAGCCATAAGAGTTCAGCCAAAAAGCCAAAGAGCTTCATCAAACACAACGCAGACGCAAGACAGGAGATGAACCGAGGTTTGTGGGGAAAAAAAGACCGGAAAGCAAACTAGAAAAGTGTAAATGGAAGGACTAAACAAGGAGCACCGTCAGAAAGCTGGAACAAACGAATGATCTGCTCAGAAAAACACAGAAAACATGCACAAAACCCTCAAATCTAGAGAAAAAAATGTGATTTTTTCTAAATAACAGAAATCTGAAGGAACCACTGATGTAAAAAAAAATGTAAAAAACCTCACAGGAAACAGTGAAATAAAGCACACTTCTAAAAAAAACGCTCTTTTTAACATTATTGTTTTCCTTCAGTTTAAAACAAGAATCTAATAATTCCCCCAACTGGAGACGTGTGATACCACAGGTCCACGTTTCAGAGAAGATCCCAGAGTTTTTCCGGTCAAACTGTGTTTATTCTGCAAATTCCCCCCGGGCAGCGGGATTAATCACCCAGATAAACATCCCGACAGCTCTGAGATAACAGAGCTGGGAACTTTAAAAAGCGTTTAAGTTTTTTTTTTTTCTTCTCCTACTGTTGGTGTAAAAAACGGACGTTTTAGAGCAACTCCTTTAATCCTTCCTGAATCCTCTGTGATCCTCTCTGTTTAGGAAACAGTTTTCACAGTTTAACCTTTGACCTTTACACCCCTGAGCGTGAATCATCAGAAGAATAATGTAAACGTGTGTTTCTGCTAATTTGTAACGATGATAGGAAGTTCAAGCGTCTTCCGAACCGAGTTTTCCTTGCCTTTATTTTGGGTGGATTTTAAACACAAGCTATTGTGGTCCATCTTTAATATGACACTATTTTCTTACTCCCTTTGGACAAATTGAGCTTATCTGAGCAACAACCAGGACCATCAAAAGCCGTCTTTTGTCCCCAAAATCACTTCTAGTCTCAAAAAGATCAGCGATTGTACTAAAAAAGAGGGACAAAAACAACAGAACCCATAAGGCACACAGATCATACCCGTATCTTCCATCGCTCATGAAGTAGAAGATTTCCTTGTAGCTGAGAGGATAATCCCACACCTGGACGTCCGTCAACTGCCCGTCAAAACCACGGAAATCGATCCGGGGTTCGCCCGACCACACATACTGAAAACACACAGCAAATATGAAGGAACATTCATTACTGACAATGGCACAAGCTGAATATTGCTGCAGATAAGATGCTATATGTACAATAGGAAGAGCCAGACCATCATTTTTTTACTTCCTTTTGTTTGGAGATGATAATCAAAACCTCTTTGAACTGGAAGAATGAATGTTTTTTCATGTGTCCCATTTCTATTGAGCTGATATATCCCAGTTATCGAGATATTTGTCACGTCTGGGGGAATGTCTGGTGTCTCGTCATGTGTTGATTACCTATTGTGTACACCTGGGGTTCCCCCCCCTCATGTGCTTAAATAGTCCTCGTTTCCCATGTCCTGGGCCAGTGCGTTTTCGTCCTTCGTCACTTTTCGTCACCCCTCGCCACGTAAGGTTTTGCTTATTGCTCCATGCCATAGTCTTGTTTTTGTTCCATAGCCATGTTTTTTCACAGCCTTGTCAACCTTATTGCTTTGATACTTTGTTCATAGTTTTTTCACAGCCTTGTTTACTGTTTTTTGTCATAGCCATGTTTTGCCACAGTTTTGTTTTGAACCCATGTCTGATCA